TTCATAGGATTCTTGACGTACCCGAACGATGTCGTATTAGCGGCCCTTTGCAGAGCAACATCCAACACCACTAAAGTATGACTGTCCTCATATAAGGTACCATGATAACCTTAAGTCAAAGGACCAATTTCATTACCGAACGTTTTGAGATTAATTACTGACACTCAGATAGTTATCCATGTGGAATCTCTCGGCGGGTCTCCAATGTTTTGTTCTATAACAAAACATCCACGTGTTCATTTAAGTGTCACCACACTTTAACTTATGAGATCAGCTACTTACTTCACAAGTAAGAAATGTCACACGTGATGGTCTATCCGTAATAACGATATCCGTATCATGTTATTATTTACGACCACGGATGATTTAAGATTCAATCAAGATGTAATTTGTATCTCACAATCACAACTCTTTGTGATTAACAAATTCAAAGATTTGAATCTCGGACTCTATTATTTATTTAATTGTCTATTAATTAAATAATAGATCTGCCATTAAATTGAATTAATTATATATCAAAAGTATTTATGTCCAAAATTGATTGGACCTAGGGCATAATACTTACAGTTGTGGACACATGACAATTGATTTTATTAAATCTAATCGCAGAACCTTTTGACTAACGTTTTGTGGACGAAGAGTTTTTGTCTCACTCACTAGTCAAAATGTTCTATAAAATTTCATTGGGAGAATCTCAACTGAATTTCAAGCAATAAGAAGAAGAACTCCTGCGTTGATGGTAGAGATAAAAGCATCTGGAGCACTACGCAAAGAAGTGGTAGAAAGAATATGCTGAGGGAAAGAAATCCAAGAACAATGATGTAATGAGTGAAGTTCAACCTGAGAATGAACTTACTCAAAATCACTACCAACTTAATAATCACAGCTTAAAGAGTTAAGTTCTCGGCCCAATTGCTGAATTAATCACATAAATTGAGAATGTGTGAAGATAGAGTTAGAGGAGGAAGAAGAAGAAGATACTAGAAGTAGAAGAATTAAGAGAGAGAATTGATTGATAGAAACGATTTTGCATCAACAACATAGACCCATTTCTCCTCTGTTCCGTGCATATGTAAGATGAAAATACAAAATGAATGGAAATCGTATTCCCTTTACAAAAAATGCAATAAGTAAAAGACACTTCTGTGGACCCCACTTCTGAAAGCTAGTTACGGTTGGTTCTTTGCCTTCTTTCCCCCCAATTCTTCCATTGTGTTGACACTACTGTACGACGAAATCTCGTGTATTAAAATATAGAAATCGTTACAAATTGTATTTTGATAAATACAAGTGATGTTGACCTTCTTGTAATTGCAAAATCTTCTGATTAATGATCTGAATATTTGAAGACAAGGGACCACGTGACTTGAATTCTGGTCTTCAATAATTTGTTGAAAATTTGATTTGTCGAGATTTGACTTGTTTGGAATTTGAATCTTGAGGCTTGGACTTGGACTTGAATTTGATTTGATTTGAAGAAGATTTTGATCTTCTTGGATTAGGCGCGAACCTATTTGATTCGAAGAAGATTTTAATCTTCTTGGGGTTCACCGAGTTTAGGCTTGACAGAATTTTTTCCCGTCTTTCAGCCTTGGGATTTTTTCAGCACTTCGTGACGTTTTCTATTTTCTTTCTTGCTTGCTTTCTGTGTCCCTGTCTTATGGACCATTGGTCCTATTTATAGGGGAGAATTCGCGTTAATTTTAGTAATTACTCAATTACATCTAATTAAAAGAGATAATTAAGTAATTATG